CACAAACCCAACCGGTACTTTCCCAGTCTTATGGCTGATAAATTCATATTTCCTGCTCCCCAAATCACTCTAAGTCATGGGTAACATTTCCTGAAGTAAAAATTTCATTTTTCTTCTACTCTCACCATGCCTTAACCCCTCCATCTCTCCACTGCTGACAGTTCCTTTTCTCCTCTGCCTTCTCATTCCATCATGTCCCCTGGAACCTTCACTCTATTACTAAACTTCCTTTCATCCTATATCTCTTCTTTTCACAATCTTCCCATCTTATTGTGCTCAAGGAAACCTGACTCTCTCCAGAAAACACTACATTCTTGACCAGGAATACTTCTTTCACACTCCCTGAAACCTACGGCATGCAGTGGATTTAGCATCCTCCTTGCTCTCTACTGCCGTTTAAAGACCCCTTCTTCTGCTCCCATCTCTCTGTGCTCTCTTCCCCTTTGAGGTTCTCTTTATCCATCCGGATCATCTGGTCAAGATCTTCACTGCCATGATCCACCAGCCTCCAGGTCACTCTCCTTCTTTTATCAAGAAGTAGGTGGTTCACAGTCTTCTCTACCATCATCCTCTGAAACTTTGATATGCAAACCAATCATCAAAGAGCTGGCCTCCAACTTCATCCATTTTCTCCATTTCAATGACTCCAGTAAGCCACTTCAGGTGGCACAGTCAGACTTTAGTTCCCACTCTCACCTGTAACAGTCCCACCTCCAGAACTGTGAACTCTGAGGTTCTCTTCTGATTATACATTCCTACCCTTCTACCTCCAGCCTCCCGAACTCATTCTATGTCCTAACTGTGACCTCTAGTCCTTCTCTCCTTCCCTCTCATCCCAGTCCAGCATCCTTATTCTGGCTCCACTTTACTCCCTTTGCTAATCAATTCAAGTATTCACCTCCCTACAGAATTCCTCATCCCCTCATTCTTTTGGTGTTTATTCCTGAGCAACCCTTAGTCCTGGATCACCCTGCTATCTGCTTTTTCTGCTCCTACTCTTATGCTGCTGAAGAACGCTGGAGGGAGTCATCACAGTGTACTGCCTAGGCTAATCAGACATGCATGTTATCTAATCTTAAATCAAACTGTTTTTTCCAAGGTCAACAATAATCTCTGAACTTCCAGATCCAAGATCTCTGTTCTCATCTTCCATGAACTCTTTTTATGGCTTTGACCCTGCGGATTATGCCGGTCACTTATACCCCCTCTCTTTCCTTGACTTCTATGACATTACAGCTCCTGCCTGGCTGTCATCCCACCCATCTGACTCTTCCTTCTCAGTCAGACTAGACCCTAATTGTCCCCCTGTCCTCTAACCCTGTATTCCCACAGACAGCTGTCCCTCTGTCCTCTAGCCACTGTGCTCCCGCAGACAGTTGTCCCCCTGTCCTCTAGCCGCTGTATTCCCGCAGACAGCTGCCCCCCTGTCCTCTGGCCGCTGCGCTCCCGCAGACGGCTGCCCCCTGTCCTCTGGCCGCTGCGCTGCCGCAGACGGCTGCCCCCTCCTCTGGCCGCTGCGCTCCCGCAGACGGCTGTCCCCCTGTCCTCTGGCCGCTGCGCTGCCGCAGATGGCTGTCCCCCTGTCCTCTGGCCGCTGCGCTCCCGCAGACGGCTGTCCCCCTGTCCTCTGGCCGCTGCGCTCCCGCAGACGGCTGCCCCCCTGTCCTCTGGCCGCTGCCCTGAATTCACTTCGTTTCCCACTCAATACTCCTTCCTTTCTGGATGTCGTTTGTTCTATCTGCTTAATTATTGCTGTGCAAAATCTATCCAAAGTCTGCCCTTCATTCCTCTCCACAACTGCAGTCCCACATCATTAACTGCCCGCTAACTCTTCTCCTGGATGTCTCATTCCAAAATTAACACATCTCCATGGATTCCAGCTAATTCCCCAATATTGACGTTAAATCTCCCACTTGTATGCATTGACTTTAGCCATTCCTCACGGCTGGATGGTACTTCCTTCTTTCCTCTTCCTCTCACAACATTTTTCTTTCTCTCTTGGAGGTCCAGCTCACATTCCCTCTTCTCTATGAATCCGTCCGTGCTCACCTCAACACTTACCGCACTGACCTTTCTCAATTTACTTTCTGTTGTCGTGGTTTGTTATTTGTTCATGTCTAACTTGTTGTCACCCCATAGGGGTTTTCTTGGCAAAGATCCTAGAGTGGTTTGTCATTTCCTTTTCCAGCTTATTTTACAGAGGAAAAACTGAGGCAAACAGGGTCAAGTGACTTGCCCAGGGTCACATGGCTAGTAAGTGTCTGAGGATCAGATCTGAGCTCATGAAGATGAGTCTTCCAGATTCCAAGCCCAATGCTCTATCCACTGCACCACCTAGCTGCCCCTTTACATACCACTTATTTTAGGTACATGTTATATTCCCCAAATAGAATGGAAGCACCTAAGGAACAGGGGCTGTTTCGCTATCTGTGAACTTCCAGCATCTAGAACAATACCTTGCACTCAGAAACTGCTTAATGAAGACTATTAGATTGCCTGGGAAACACGGAAGACGTGGGACAGAAAACAGCTCCACTAGATGAATTCGGAACTAATTGAGTGGTAGGACTCAAAGAGTAGCTATTAATGTTCCAATGCCAACTTCATAGGAATTCTCCAGAAGACTGGAGCCTTGGTGATCTGTGGTGGGCCCTCCATTATTTATTGCATTTATCAATGACGTGGAGAGGAATATTGAACATTCTTAGCAAATCTGCAAATGACACAAAGTAAGGCATGACAGCTAACACGCTAGATGGCAGAATCAGTATCCAAAATGGTCTTGACTGATTAGAACACCAAGCTGAATCTAGGAGGACAGAATTTAATGGGGGAAAATTGTCAAGTTTTATACTTGAGGGCAAAAAATAACCTTCACAAGTATAAGATTAGATAGCAGTTTATGTGGAAAAAAAAAAGCTGGGGGGTTAGTCAAATACAAGTTCAATCTGGGCCAACAGTGGGATGTCTTAACCATAAAGACTAATCGGATCTTAGAAGGCAGGAAGAGAGATACAACTGCTGGGAAAGGAAGTGACAGCGTTGCTGTATTCTGCCCTGGGCTCAGTCCCGTCTGGAGCGTACTGTGCACAGTTCTGGGTGATGCCATTTGGTAGGACAATGATTCTCTCCCAGCCGGGGAGTGTCCAGAGGATGGCCACCAGGACAGTGATATAGATTCCCTGTCATACAAAGATCAGGTGAAGGAATGGGGGCCTGGAGAAGAAAACATCTAAGGGGTGACCTGATGAAGGGGCGTGGAGGGCTGGCATGTGAAGGGGAATTAGATTGTCTATGAATGCGACATCATCATCCTCTTTCTCTTGAGCAGGCATTCTTAATCTGGGCTCCTTAGACTTAGGCTTTTTTAATGAGTGCCAATTGCAGGAAGCTAAATTTAGCCAATCTGCAAAGAAGAATGTTGTGACAAGCAGAGGAGGTGGGGAGTCAGGGTGCCTCCTCAGAGGTTTCAAGGAAAAACTGGCCAACTCCTTCTTGGGCATATGGTTGTGGGCTGGACTAAAGAACCACTAAAGAGCCTTCTCATCCTCACATTCTGGGATTCTGTGAATGTAGCAGAAATAACAGAAAACTGGGAGAGAACCCAGGTGTTCATGTCAAGAGGATATTAAATGAGGGACACAAGCCAAACCACCCAATGTTGAGTGGCCTGAAAGGCCTACAACTGCCCCAGTGGATAAAATAGCCCCACCCATAATGCCGCTAGTCCACCAAGGGGCACAAGTATTATGATAAACTAGAGACTCTCATCAAGCAAACGAGGGCCAGCCTTGCATCAATCAACAACCAGTCTAGACCAAGAATGTCCTCTAGGCAGCGTCCAGGAGTTGAGATCCCAGCTTTACGAAGCCCAATTAGAAGAGAATAGCTATAAAGTGCAGATTCTAAGGCCAGGCCATAAACCAGGCCTTATCAGTGACAGGGAGGCACATTACACCAACTTCAAACTCATTCCTTACTCTAATCCATCAGAAACTTCCTGGCTTTAATAGGCTATAAATGGCAAAGGCTTTGAAGTCCCTGGGATTAGGTTCTGGGATAGACAGACTGAATGAGAAACTCAATGCAGGTGGAAAGTACTCTATGGGTCAGAATTAAAAACAAATCCAATTAATCAAAAAGTCCTCATCCCTGGCTGCCAGTGAGGAGATTATAGGAGTGGCCAGTGCGTTAAAAATAAACAAACCAAGGCAGGCCAGTGGGCAGGAGTGACAAAGTGCTGAAGGGCGGCCAATGGGAGGCTCTGGCCAGTGCTCACTTTGGGGTGCTAAGCCAAAGGCTATGAGGGGCATGCACTGCTGACCTTCCCAGTCAGAGGCAAGGGCATCTTCTTTTGGAAAGCCAGCACAGTATCAGAGCAAAGATAAGGAAGGAGAAAACTAATGCCTTTTAAGTTGAGTTTTTGTATAAACAAATCATCTGGGATTGCTGAGGGAAGCTGGGGTCTGTTTTCCTCAAGTTGTGAGGCTTTGATCCCCTGTGATTCCTAAGTCTTCCCAAACCTAGGCCACAGCATACACCATGCACAACTCTGATTAAAGTGGGCCACCCCAGAACATAAATGGGCAGTCTATGAGCAGCGGACTCAGGGTCTCTTTGGGGCAGACACCACTCTGTCTCTTACATGAGTTCACAATCATCACAGTACTAGGTAAGGAACTTTGGGTTTAATCAGACATATGGATGCTCTTGATTTAAATTCTGGTTTTGCCAATTATTACCCCCTGTGAACTTCCCCTCTTGGGGTCTTGGTTCCTTCACTTGTAAAATAGTAGCCTAGCACTAGGTGATCTCGGGGTTTCCTTCCTGAAGTCTCCACACCCACCTCTGCAGGTACACTCAGCATGGGCCCTTGGCCGAGGCACCGTGCCTCAGAGCCTCTGACTCCTCATCTCTAGCACACATCATGGAGATAGGAACTGACCCAAACAGAAACCCAAACCAGGCCTCATCACCAACAGTTCTCCTCCTTTTCTTACCTTCTGGAGGGTTTTTATTCTGGTTGTTCCAGACGACTAACAGCTTAGAGAGGCTGGGCACCTTGGATACCTCTGTGATGACCCTGAAGAGGCTCTCCACTCGATCGTAGGTGAGGACAATGGCAGTGAAGCCCTGGGACTGTGGCGGAATCAATGGAAGGAACAGAGGATTGCTCACACTGCTCCATTTCTGTAAGATGCCAAATAAGCAAAGATTAGAACAATGACACTGCCCCAACATCTTCCTAAGTCTGCTAACTACCACCAAGACAGAGGTTCAGAGACCCTCCTGAGTGTCTCTCCTTCCTTCAAACCCCATGGAATCTTGCTGGAAGCACACTGGAAGGACAAGGGCACTGACCATGTGGGGCTCAAGATTCCAGTGGGCTTCAATCCTGACTCTGCCATATACACAAGGCACGTGACTCAGTTCTCAGAATCTTCTTCTATGAAATGATCCTTACATTACCTACTTCACCAGGGGATTCTGAGGAAAACAGTTTGCAAGCAAAAACTGGAGGTTCTATTATTGTTGTTTGGATAGAGAAAACTGATATAGCCTAGGAGGCTGGGTGATAGAAGAGGAATGCCAGGATGCCCATGGGGCCAAGGCACACAAACAATGCTCATGCCATGATCTCCCTGATGTGGTGTATGGGCAACTCTGCCCTGGCATTCCCATCCCTGAAGAGATCTAAGAGATACTGTCTATAACTATCTGACAGTTTCCTGGTATATGTCTCCTAGTCAGGGCCCCCAAGGTGTTCCACAACCACACCCAGACCACTGGTGGGCAGCCACTGCCATTGTACATGACAGCAACTGCTTCCCAGATGGAACAGTTTAGGACAAGAAATGCACTGACCCCACGAATTACACATGAAATGAGAATTCATGGAGACAGAATGGGATGACTGGACTGCAATGTAATGAGAAGAATGGGGCCACAAAAGCCCACACTGTACCAGATATGAATTTCACAACAGAAAAAGACACTTGGAAAGGTCACCCTCAAAATGCTGACTTCCTCCCCATGACTCTCATTCTCTCCTATTCAGCTATGCACGCCCTTATGAAAGTGGGTGATTCCAACTATTTTTTATTAGCATCTAACTACATGTCTTAAAATCCTCTAGAGTTTCCATCCCCAAAGTCTTCTCATTCTTCATATTCCACAAATTTATATGGAGGCCTAAGGGCAGAAATGGCACAAGATTCATCATAATTAACCATCACGGATCATGGAAACCCCCATGTTGGAAACTGTTGAAGGAAGAAGGAACAGAAAGATTATAGAGACTTAGAAGAGGCTGTGTGGAAGGACGGTGTTATCAGAATTTTAAAGGACAAAGGACTCAGGAGTCTTCCAAAGTATACTTTTGACTGTCATTCTTCTGCCTGCAAATATTCAGGGGCTGCCTGCTGCTTCTAGGATAAACTATGAACCCCTCAGATTGTCATTTAGAGATCTCTAAAATCTGGCTCTGTCTTACCTGTCCAGCCTTATTTCAAGTTATTCTCCTGTGCATCCTTGGTGGTGTAGCCAAGATAAAACACTTAGCTATTCCCTGAACTTAAGATGGCAGACCCCACTTCTAACTCTGCATGGTTCACCCCACATGTCGAGAAAGTACTCTTTCCTCATCCCTGCCTTTCAGAATTCTTCAGTTCTCCATTATGAAAAGCAAAATGGATAATTTTGATTACATTAAATTGAAAAGTTTTTGCAGAAACAAAGCCAATGCAACTAAGATTAGAAGGAAGGTAGAAAATTGGGAAAGAATTTTTACAACCAGTCTCTCTGATAAAGGCCTCATTTCTAAAATATATAGAGAATTAAGACAAATTTATAAGAACACAAGCCATTCCCCAATTGATAAATGGTCAAAGGATATGAACAGACAGCTCTCAGGTGAAGAAATTAAAGCCATCTATAGTCATATGAAAAAATGCTCTAAATTGTTATTGATTGGAGAAATGCAAATCAAAACAACTCTGAGGTACCACATCACACCTATCAGATTGGCCAACATGACAAAACAGGAAAATAATATATGTTGGAGAAGATGTGGAAAAATTGGAACATTAATACATTGTTGAAATGATCCGATTATTTTGGAGAACAATTTGGAACTATGCCCAAAGGGCTACAAAAATGTGCATACCCTTTGATCCAGCAATAGCACTTCTAGGGCTATATCCCAAAGAGATCAAACAAATGGGAAAAGGACCCACATGTACAAAAACATTCATAGCAGCTCTTTTTGTGGTGGCAAAGAATTTGAAATTGAGAGGATGCCCATCAATTGGGGAATGGCTGAGCAAGTTGTGGTATATGAATGTAATGGAATACTATTGTGCTACAAGAAATGATGAACAGGCTGACTTCAGAAAAACCTGGAAAGACTTATATGGTCTGATGCTGAGTGAAGTGAGCAGAACCAAGAGGACTTTGTACACAATAACAACCACGTTATGCAATGACTAATATTGTTAAATTGAATACTTCTCAGAATTACAAGGATCTAAGACATCTCCAGAGGCCTCAGGATGGAAAATGCTGTCCACATCCAAAGAAAGAACTATGGAAGTCGAATCGCTATCACTTATTTTTACCTTCTGTTGAGTTGTGTTTTATCTTTCTGATGGTTCCTCCTATTGGTTTTAATTTTTACTTAGAACTTCACTAAGGTGAAAATATGTTTAATAGGAACGTAAATGTAAAGCCTATATCAGATTGTGCACCATCTTGGGGAGGGTGGGGGGAAGGAAGGGAGAAAAAATTTTCAACTCAAAAGCATATGGAAGTGATTATTGATAAATTAAAATAAATTAACAAAATTTTTTTTAAAATAGTAAAGTTAGCTTTGTGGGGATGAAAAAAAAAAGAATTCTTCAGTTCTCTCAAAGCTCAGCTCCACCTCTTCTTTTGGGAAAGCTTCCCTGCTTCTCTTCCACCCCTAGCCCTGTCATTACTGTGCACTCTCTCTCCCCCCCAATACTTTGTATTTAACTGAGTATGTGTTTCCCAGTAGAATGGAAGCTTCTTGATAGTGGGGATTTCGCTATTTTTCATTATGTATCCCTAGCACTGGGCCTCAAACATAGCAGATGCTTGTGGGATTGAATTTAACTGAATGAAGAAACTGAAGTCTGATTTACAATTAATTCCTCTCAGTTCTTCTTCAAGAGAGGCTACTAAAAGCCCTTTACCCTTTATGGTTAAATCTAGTCACTGAGCAAAGCCTGTCTCCAAATGTGGTGATTTCAGAAAAGAAATGGAATGAAATGTACCAAATATTTAATCCTGACACAAAATGGGTACACAAATTAAAAAGGTAAAAAATACTGCTATTGACAGGAGAATATATTAAAACTCTAACAAAACCCAGTTTGTTCTTTGGATGGGGTGGGGGTGGGAGTGGGTAGGAAACCAACAGACTCAAATGCCACTGATCCCTCAAAAGAGAGGGCAAATTTCAGGGAACAGTTCCATGGGAATTCAAACTGGAGCACCCCTTGTGGTGTACAACACCTCTGTTTTCAAGACACAACCAGAAAAAGAAAGTCATATTGCCTGGTAAGACACACAACACATGGCTTGGATCTCAGCCTGTGTGCCAATCCTACTTGGGGAAATGAAGGGAAGGAGGGCAGATGGGGAATCCTCTGGGTGGGGAAGGGACAGCATCTAGATGACACACATCTCTGGGTGTTCAGCTCTTCCACACCCCTACATGGCCTCGCTAGAGGACAGAGAACTAGGCAGGCAGTTTAAGCAGCACACTGGGGAGACATGACTTTTCAGTGGTATCAGATACTTGATTGGAAGGATAGAAATTCTGCCATTGTTTCTCTATGAACCAGATAACCTCAAATCAAAACATAAGAATGGAAGCAGAATGAGACAAACCAATAGCATTGCTGAGCTCCGAGTCTAAGGCACAAGACATTCTTTTCTAAGAAAGACACCACCAGAATCATCTCTCCTCCCCTCTTCCTCAGCTCCTATCATTTGGATGCCTCTGCCACAATCTTCTCCTTCTCCCCCATCTCACACAAAGAAGTGAGCTGACTCTTTACCAAGGCTAACTCCTCTACCTACACAAGAGATCCCCTTCCATCCTGTCCCTTCCAACAGATGCCCCCTCAGTCATCCTCACTCTTTCTTAGCACTGCATCTGGTACAAGTAGGAGTTTAATTGATGTTTATTGGTCGAGTGATCAAATTAATCTAAGTGACTTGGATAAAAAGCTAAATCAAAGAGTTTTGAGTTGAAAGGGGCCTTAGCAATCAAATCCAACCTCTTCGTTTTGTAGGTAAGAAAGGGGAAAGAAATTACTTGCCTACATCACACAAGAAATAAGCAGAGCTGAGATTTGAAACAAGGCTCTCTGACTCCAGACCCAGGCTCCTTCCTCTTGATCTTACCTCATGGCACATGGTTTGCCTACGTTCCAGAATTTCAGAGTTGGACAGGGCCTCAGAGGCTATTTAGCCCAACCTGGATCTGAAGAGAAATCGCCCTCCCAGCTGGTAGGGAAGAAGAATGAAAAGACAACGAGAAGAAGGGTAGGGAATGGAGTTGCCACCACAAGAGGCCTGTTAGCAGAAGGTGGACGACTATCTGTTTGGGGCTGCAGATCGCAAAATCTCAGTTGGAAGGACCTCAGAAGCCAGTTAATTTATCCTGTCCTCATATAGGAAATCTTTTTATACCACCCCCAATGAGTGATCAGTAAGCCTATACTCCCTCCACTCCTTTCTGTCTAAACAGACTGTTGTCATTTCTTCCCTTCCCTTTCTGTTGGCTCTTCCTTCCTAGTCTTTAGATCTTAGTGAAGTTAAAGCCAACCATATGACGTAATCTGGTGGTACTTCTTTGGGCATTTTCAATATGTAGCTTGAAAAGCGATTCCAGGTAAAATAAGATACACCCAAGGCCTAGAAATGAATTTCTAGATAGTACAGTAATTAAAATGCTGGACCTGGAGTCAGGAAGACCTGAGTTCAAATCCCACCTCAGACACTTGGTAGCTATGTGACCCTGAGCAAGTCATTTACTTTCTCTGTGCTTCAGTCTCCTTACATGTAAAATGGGGGCAATAGCACCTCCCTCCCAGGATTGTTGGAAGGATCAAATGAGATCATATAGAGAAAGCACTTTGCAATCCTTAAAGCAGTTATTC